CTATGGTTAAATGGCCCATAAAAACAAATTAGTCAAATACGACTTATAATTATTTATTTTTGACTAATTCATAAATCATTAGAAACGCCTTCACAATTAACGTGATCATTTTCTGAACTTTCAGAAAATACAAATTGTTGGTTTTTATCAGTATTGAGAAAACGAAATCGTACAGATTTTTTATTTTTAAAATTGTTATTTTTATTATTTTGATTATTACTATTACCATTGAAGAAACTATTTTGTGAATTACAAAAACTACTTTAAAATCTACTGCCAAAGTTATAAAAGTTGTCACCGTCCCTTTTATTGCAAAATGATGAAAAGTGTCCAACCAGGTTACAACTTCTACACGTCCCATATGCAAGACAATTGTTGGCTCGATGCATCCTACCACATCTTGTGCAGCTTCTCTGAACATGTTGATCTTGAACTGGAGGACCCCTCGAGTTGAATTGAGGTCTTTTGTAGATGGAACCAATCACATTTCCTGAAGAATTGATGATTTCCTGATTGTTCTACTTGGACTTTTCCATATTAATACAAACTTTTATAGCTTCATCTAGATCTGTATAATCTTCTTGCAGTAGATTTTCCCTTAATGTGCTTGATTTTAATCCACAAATGAGCACATCTTTAATAAGACTATTTTGCAATTGCCAAATTCACAATCTTGAGCCAAGACTTTAAATCCGTAATATACTGCTCAATAGTTTCATGCTCGTTCTGCTTTCTTGTATTAAATCTGTATCTATGATAAATTCTTCCTTGGATTAATGTAAGTTTCAAACTTTTCCAAAACAACCTTTATATTAAATTTTTCGTTATCTCTTAATGATAAAGAATTATAAATTCGATGTCCCTCTTCTCCAATTTGCTTTAGTAGTTACATCTAATATGGTAAAGAGTCTTGGCGGGAGGTTCAATCGTTTTGCAGCGCCATGTCAAGCAAAACAAGATGCAGATTGTAACTGACCTTTATTTAGCCGTGCTGGTTTATATACATTTCGTTGTATATTTCTGACAAGTGTAGACCAGTCTCTTGGCATTTCTATATCCATTGAAGTTTGTTTTTTGCCTTTTCAATTAAAGCGTGAATCGAATCAGCTTCTACCTCGATATATTTTTTAAGACAAGACGCAATCTCCCAATTTAATATTAATTATATTATGTTTAACAATTTTGGTTGTAAGTAGTACTTCAACATGTAAGTGTTTTTTAGTTGTAATAATATAATCTATTTTGGTTAGACTTAATAATAATAATAATAATCTTTATTTAGCAAGGAAGCTATCTCATACCTATACAAAAAATAACAATATAAATATAATATGTATACAAGATATGTACAGTATAACAATAAAAGTATAAATAATTTATATATATCTAATCACAGATTCTACGGAAGTGCTCAAGTAAATTTGTCTTAAAATGTTTAATATTAAAGCTTTCTTTTATTTTAGCTGGTAGTAAATTAAATTGTACCAATCCTTTATAAAATACAGTGTTTTTCATCTGAGTTGTTCTACAAATACCTATATTGAAATTATTACTACTTCTAAGTGTGTAACTGTTTCTGTCAGAAACCAATGACAGATTTTGGCATAAATACTGAGGTAGAATATTGTTTTTCATTTTATATATAAACATTAAAGTATTAAACAATATTCTATCACAAACTGGTAACAAATTTAGTACATTTAACATAGTTTTAATTGGAGTGTATCTATTACAATACAATACTGTTCTCATACATCGGTTTTGTATGCACTGGATTTCCCCAATTCTATATGCAGGTAAGTTAAAGAGAATTGTTGAACAAAAATCAATGTGTGGGGCAATTGTCGATTTATATAGAAGAAGTTTTGTTGACAAGGAGAGATTTTTACTAACACGTTTTAAAAAGAATGATTTTTTTGACATCTTATTCATAATATAAAGTGCATGTGTGTGAAAATTTAGATTTTCGTCAAGTTTAACTCCCAAGTACTTAATATCTTTTACCAAATCAATTTTTACATTGTTAATATGGACAGGTAACAAAGTTTGGTTACCAATTTTACTTACATTGCTCTTACTTCCAAATACAATACTTTTAGTTTTTGCTATATTAATACAAAGTTTATTATCACAGAGCCAAGTGTAGATATTACTTAAATCACAATTTATTTTGGTTATCATATGACAGATGTTATATCCTATTATATATAGCATTGTATCGTCTGCAAACAAACTTATTTCTGAGAATTTTACACAGTTTACTATATCATTTAAGAACAATGTAAATAAAATTGGTCCCAGCACAGTTCCCTGCGGAACCCCATGAGTAGTTTGAATTTTTTCCGATGTCACACCATTGAACTTTACTTTTTGATACCTATTGCTCAGGTAACTCTTGAACCACTTATGCACTGTTCCCCTTATCCCAATCTTTTCCAACTTTTTTAACAGTAAATCTCGATCAATCGTCTCAAAAGCGCGCTTAAAATCCAAAAATACAGCCAAGATTATCTTATTGTTGTCTATGCTGGTAATCCACTTATCACAAATTTGAATTATTACCGTTTCACACGAATGGCCCGTGCGAAAACCAGACTGGTTTGGAACAATCACCTTATTCATATCACAGAAATTTATTAGTTGATTTTTTACACACACTTCCAGGATTTTTTCATAAACAGGTACTACATTAATGGGTCTAAACTCTTCACAACATATAGTTTTGGAGATCTTTGGTACGGGTACTATAATTGATGTCTTCCAATTTTCTGGAAAAACTCCTGTTGACATTGAACTATTAATCACATCCAAAAACCAATTTCCAATTACTTCAAAAGCACATTTAATTATTCTTGTTGATATTCCATCATCACAGCCCCCTGTATTCTTCAGATTTTTGACTACTTCCTTAATGTCTCCCATAGTTACTTTATTAAATTTTCTTAAGTGTATCTCCTCAGTCATAATGTTATTTATGATAAAATCATGATTGTTGTAAGTGGGAATATTAGTAACAATATTATTAATACTTTGTATGAAAAATTTATTAAAATTTTCCGATATAATTTTTTTGTCAGTGGTTCTCATATTATTAAATACAATTTCCTCATTTTGTTGGCTTTCACATTTATTTGGTAATAAGGTCTTCAGGTTTTTCCACATTTCCCTAGGATTGTGTTTATTTTTGTCAATAGTATCTAGATAGTACTGATCCTTTGCTTTTTTTATTTCTTTTGTTACCATATTTCTGTGTTCTTTATATTGACTCCAATCTTCTGGCCTTTTTGTAAGTATTGCAGTTTTATAATAATTATCTCTTAATTGCATTTTATGAAGGATGTCATTATTCATCCATTTGTTGTCTGCATGTTTTTTGTACATTTGAACATTTATATCAGGGCACATATCATCCATAACTGATTTCAATACATGGACGAGTTTGTTGGCCATTGTATTTGCATCTGATTCAGAATTATTCCAACCTTTGTCCATTAGCTTCAATTGCAACTCAGTTTCATTAAAATATTTCATATTCTTTTTTTTCAAACAAACTTGTGATTTATCATCTGCGGAAAAATTGTTTAAATATATGGATATTCTTGAGTGGTCACCAATTTTTTGGGATCTGTGTACTTTGTGTTGAGTGTTTGGTATATTTGTTACAACATAATCAATTAGTGTTGAACTGTTTGAGGTTATTCTTGTCGCCTCAGTCACTATCTGTTTATAACCATTTTTATATATTAAGTTTTTGATTTTGTTGCCATAAAAAGTACTTTTTAGCAGATCATAATTGAAGTCTCCCACTATTAATTGATTGATCCCCATTTCATTCAATTCCTGTAAGTACTGTTCAAATTTTTTTATGAAAGTGCTATCTTCTTTGTTCGGGGGATGATAAATCACAGTTAAAACATAGTTTGTATTTAATCTGCAGTGAATAGACAAAAGCCATAGATAATTGCTTTCTTGTAGAGTGTTAACTTTATAGTAAGATATTTTGTTACTTATATAAACAATAACACCTCCTGTTCTTGAGTTGTTGGTATTACAAATTTCCACACTATATCCTTTAATTTTATATTCACATTCCAAAACATTATCTGTGATGTGTGTTTCTGAAAGACAAATGATTTGAGGTTTTTCTCTTCTAATTAATAATAATAATTCATCTTTGTTGTTCAGGAAACCTTGGCAATTAAAATACATAACCTCACATTTATTTAATTGCTATGCATTGACTTCACTATTTATAAATTTATTTCTTTGAGTTTCTATAATCCTGTTTAGTGATTCACACTCTTTACTCCATACACAATGGTTAACATTTAGTTTTAAATTAAAATTATTATTTGCCATTGTACAATTTATACATTTTCTTATTTCATTCTCACATTTATCCATTTTATGATTATCTCCACATAATGGGCAGCAAATATCCCCATTACAGTCCTTCTCAATGTGTCCATATTTGCAACATTTAAAGCACCGAATTATGCTAAAATCTTTTGAAATCTTGCATGAACTCCATCCAACAAATAATCTGTCATTTTCAATAATTGTTTTATATGATTCTTCATCTATTTCTACAATTAAATTAAATGACTGATTAAATAACTTGGACTTACGTATAATTTTTACTTCAGCTTTATCTTCAATTAATTTGTTTTGTTTAATAATTTTTGAAATAATACTTTGATCATCCAGTTTATACTCCCTTTCATTAACATAATGTGCCTTAATTCTATTTCTTCTCAATGTTGGTTTAACTATTTCATATTCCTCTCCCATTTTCTGCTGCAATTGTGTTTGTATGTCTTCAACATTCTTATTCTTATCACAGTTTAACACCAGTCCACCATTCTTTACTTTTCTACCCATTGAAATCCCAGTATTCATTTCTGCTGGTTGTATTTTTGTTAGTAGATCTTCCTTTGTTTTTGTTATGTTATGTGATGTGTTTTTTGGCTTGACAATTAACACATTGGATTTTATATTACCTTTTTGGGTAACACTTGCATATGTGGAAATAGATTCTTGGTCTTGTTTATATATATTTATTGTGATTTGTTCAATTTGGTTTTTGATGGTTGCATTTTCTTTTTTTATTTCCTCCACTTCTTTATTTAACTTTACCGTTTGTATTTCTTGCATCTCCAATCTTTTGAGTATATTTTGTTCCATAGATATAAGTTGTTTCATGATATCTTTTAAGGTTATTTGAGAATTGTTTTCCTCCTCTTCTTCTTCGCTACTTGACATAACCTCATTCTTGCACGAGGTACATTTCCAGTTTGTTCCTTTTGTATTTAGTTTACTAATTTCTTCTTTTGTTAATCCAGTGCATACATCATGGAACCATGATTCACATTCACCGGCACATTTAAGTTTATAGCCACTTTTACCAATATTTCCTTTACATTTAGGACACAGCATTTTGACCTTGCCATCCATGTAACGCGCGAAATAAGTTGTTGGGGTTATTCTTGTATATGTTATTTTTACCATCTGATATTAATTCATTTTTATAAATAAAATCCTTTATTTTATTTGTATAAAAGTCATTTTTTTAGTTCAAAATAAAATCTTCAGTTACTATTATTAAAGTAGTTTTCAAAGAACTTGAGGCGTGTTATTATTCCACATTATGAAAGCGTACGGCAGCTTTTGGATTAAAGCAGTGGAGAGCAGGGTTTAAGTTAAGTGGGTTTTAAAAAAACATAAATAAATCGTGACGTGTCTAAATAAAAAAAAAACAAAAACAATTTATAAAGATTCTTGTAATTGCGTCAGTGTACAATAGCTTACCTTGTGGGCGCCAAATGACCTTTTGTAGGAAACTGCAAAATTAGACCGGTCATTTAATCTAACTTAGTTTACGCTGAAAGTGTTTGAAGGTAAATCTAAAGAGGATATACTATAATAAAATGTATAATTTAAGAAGTTTAATCTTAAACAATTTGTCAAAATTATTAAATTCTGTTGTAAAATATTGGTATATAACCCATATAAGACCAAACAACTCTACCTTTGATACGTATCGTCGGTTCACATTAAAATTAAAAAAATAAGGTGTTCGTAACCAAGTTTAAAGTCGGCTTTTAAACCGCAACAAAAATAATATAGTGACAGTTCAATATTTAAAAGTTAAAAATAGTATACTCAAATTTACATCCTCCAGTGAGCGTTAGTTGTTCTTGCTTCGGCTGGTGGCTTCTGTGAAGACAAACAGCGGTGTGGTTTTCCGGTGGGTTGTAGGTCGTCAAATCAGTGAGGTGGCGTCAGGCCGAGTCAAAGACATGTACATGAGGCACATAAGGTAAAATTGACCATAAGGTATAGTCAACATAAGGTAAAATTCAACATTAGGTAAAATTCGACATAAGGTAAAATTTCAACACAAGGTAAAATTCGACATAAGGTAAAAGCCCTAAAAAAACGAAAACAAAGGTTGGAACAAACCTAAAGCACTTTAATAATACTCACAGATTAATTAATCTGGCTTAAGGGAAGCGTCATTCCTACCATCTTGCAGGAGAGGGAAAACTGTCAAGGCCAAGCACACACATTATAATACGTGCTAGTCAAATCCGGGAAATATCGTCAAAATCTACATCCAGATTATTTACATGTCGATCCGAGCCTGATATAAAAGTAAGGAAACATTGGATTAGGACTGATGGCCCGAATAAAAATCGATTAACTCACCAAGTTGAGGTTATGGCGGAGCACGCTACAGCGTTTTTCTCAGTATTTTAAACGTCGACAAGACCCCAGATACTACGCAATCATCGAGCTCTTCGGTGTCTCTTCTGGACCCTTTCGTCACGATTTAACTGGATTTTACACTTGAAAAACTTTTAACACTCAACTTAAGTCAAATCGACATGTTGCTCGTCTGGCGGTCAAACAGAAAAGGAAGCTTAGAATAAATTAAATTCCTATTGGACTTTCACGCGCATGCGCGACCAACGCACGGGGAAACTTTTAAAAATGAAATTTGAAATAAAATGAAATTTGAAAAAGGTATATATTAAAATTTAAATAAACTAGATCTGAAACCATTATACATGAAGGAAAACAAAGAAATATATTTAATTTAAAACACTGAATAAAAATATAGGCAACCCGGTTAACGACCGGTTTTGACATTTCAAAAGTAAACAAATGTTCTACATGGCATATTTAAAAGAAACTTTGAGACATTAGCAAGATAGAATAAGTGCCCCTAACGCTCAAACAGATACAACCTATAGTAAGGTAACTTAAAGGTAAGGTTGATAACCACATAGATACATTTGTTCGTTTTAAGGTTAGACTATGGAATTTACTGGCAAACTAAAGTTATAAGTAACATCCGGCCGGGCTGTAAACAAAAGTTAAACAAACATAGGTCTCCCAAACTGCAGTACGGTGGAGCATTTGAAAACACAATCGTAACATTTATAAGTGTAAGTGATTAATGTTTAATCGTTGCAGATTTAACTGAACGTCAAACATAATAAGTACAGCCCTAAATAACGTGTTTCCTTACTATAAATCTTTATTTTAGATAGTTTGTTATCTAAGGATAAAACTACACCGAAGCAGTGTTGTTCCAAGGTTGGAATTATCACGGGTTGTTCCTAGGTAAAAATGTTTAAATAATATATTACATGAACTAAAATAAAAATACGACTACAAATGGATTACTTAATTAAAAACACGTAGCATAAAATGTGCATGCTACAACACACCCCTCCTCGGAAAAATAAAATTTCATACCCAATTAAATTTTATTTTTAAGTAAAAGAAACAAACTAAATAAAAAGGTAAAATGTTGACAATTGTGAAGAGGAACGAAGCAGACCCTTAGTCATGCGACGCCTCGAATATTTAAGCAAATGAAACGTCAGAAGGTTAAGTTAAATGGAAAGAAAATTCTCCTTGAAGAGGAAGGATCCTGACATACCCAGTTACGCTGGGAACAAGTCCCAGAAACAAAAAGAGGGAGGCAACCGGTGGTCCTGTATCTGAAACAGGCCAGCCCTCCAACGAACCGGAAATAATGTGCAGTACATTATTCGCAAATCATACGGTATGTCGCCTTGACATACCGTGCAAAAGAAAAACTTACTCGGAACGAATTCCGAGTAGGGAAAGGGAATGCCCCAGTGGCCAATTGCGCTAACTGGAACCACATTGGATTGGACTGTGCGGTAGGTGTTACAGGCGATATGGCTTCACCGTGCATGCCATAGCGACAACTCAGTGTCGGCCTGATCAGAATTAAAGACATACACGAACAAATACACCAGACGGTACAAACCGTGGTAACTCATAGTGTGGTGAAAAGCACGGTGTTGTTCCATCACCACTTGGATGGGTTTTAGCTACAGGCCGTACGATCTAGCAGTGACTATCGTAGCAACAATTGTTGGGGTTCCAATGTTGGCCTGACGGAAATGATTAAGGAATTATGTTTTTACACAGGGACGCAAAACTTGCGCTACTAAAGCTAACTTAACTACCGCTCTTAAAATCTAACTCTAATAGCTACGATCTCCTCTGCAGAGGAACTAGACTAAATAATAAAAAAAAATATATATATATATATATATATATATATATATATATATATATATATATATATATATATATATATATATATATACACTATCTACAGGTCAAGGGAGGCAATTCTCGAAATTTTTATACGACTAGTTACCTTACTATAATTCAGAAATTATACTAGAATTCGAGCCATAATACTTTTTCAAGTCCTTTACATGGTAATTTCCGGCGTTTGTCCCGGTCGCAGACTCGAGTTCATAGACAAGCTTAGAGACTTTTCTGATTACGGTACATAGTACATATCTAGGTGCTAATTTCGCGGAAAGGTCTTTGCTTTTATCCGAGAGCACATAATTTCGCTTCCAAACCCTCTCGCCGACGGAGAAAACAACATCGCGTTTACGCAGATTGTATTGTTTGACATTCCGCCTGTAGGCTTCATTTAATTTAGACTGTATTGTCTGATACAATAAAGGTAGCTTTTGAAGCTCCTTACCGTAGTTTAAAGAATCTGAAGGATTCGTGTTCAAATCGATAGAGCTGTGGTGTACTCCATAGTAATCACCAGAAATCGGAACATTACGTCCAAAATTTAAAAAGGCTGGGCTATACCAGTAACTTCGTGAACGGCGACCCGAATTGCATGTCCTATTTTTGGAATCTCCTTGTCCCAGAACTTGTGAGCATTCTTGTCCTTAATATAACTACGTATCGCGGTACCTATAACGCGATTAATACGCTCAACCGTATTCGGAGCAGGGTGATACCGAGCATTAAACAAAATTTTCTGGACTTTATATTCCTTAACAAGATTTTTAAAAAGAGAGCTGGTAAATTGCACGCCGTTATCGCAGACAATCTGTGAAGGTACTCCATAGACTAAAAACACTTCGTTCTCCATAAAATTACAAATTGCCTTTGCGGTAGCCTGTCTTAAAGGTTTTAATAGAGCGTATTTAGTAAAATGATCCGCGACTACGAGTAAAAACATATTCCCCTGATTGGAACGTGGGAAAGGACCCATTATGTCAACACAGACACATTGCCAAGGAAATTCTACCCTCTTCTGCGAACCCATAAGGCCATGCCTGCTTACGTTCGGCATCTTTTGACTTTGACATATCTTACATCGTCTAACAAACCATAAGACAGACTCCCGCATCTTGGGCCAATAGTACTGCTCTTGAATTTTACTCAAGGTCTTAAAATATCCAAAATGTGCGGAAGTAGGTTCCGAACGAAACTTTTCAATGACAGCTTTCCTGTCGTAAAATGGAACTACCTGCTTCCAATTTGAAATGTTTGTAGACAAAGGCAACTCCTTATCAATATGGCGGTGCAATTTACCGTCTTTAATCATCCAATGGGCATGCTCCTCGGGACGCGCAGTCACGTTTTGCAACGTTTTCTGATACCAAAAATCAGTATCTGGCTGAGGATTATCCGCAACAACACAGAACTCCGCATTGCCTGAAGGCGAGGAATCACTTGAATTCAAGGAAGCGCGCGACAGCGCATCAGGCACCACATTCAGTTTACCCTTACGGTGAACCAATTCGAAGTTATGTTGGCGCAGACGCAGTGCCCAACGAGCCAATTTACCGGTAGGTTCCTTAATATTATTAAGCCACAACAGGGAATAACAATCAGTTATTACCTTAAACTTTTGAGGACAAGCCTCCAGATAACACCTAAATTTGTCTAAGGCAAAAAGTACGCCTAAAAGTTCTCGCTCGGTAGCGCTATAATTCTGTATATAATATATAACCTGTATCGATGTGATGTATCAACTTCTTTGTACGACCAAGACCCTTTTCCGAACCGATTTCGTTAAACGAAACTACGACTTTTTGTTTGATAACTTCTTCAGAAGGTGTTAAAAC